ATTGCTTGAGCCCAGGAGTTCAAGACCAGCCTAGACAACACAGTGAGATCCCCATCTCTATTGGGGGAAAAAAAAAAAAAACAAGTACACATATACCATAGAGTACCACATAGCCATAAAAAAGAACAAAGCCTGGCATGGTGGCTGATGCCTGTAATCCCAGCACTTTGGGATGCCAAGGCAGGAGGATTCCCTAAGCCCAGGAGTTTGAGACCAGCCTGGACAACATAGTGAGATCCCTGCCTGTCTTAAATAAATAAATAGTACATATATACCATAGAGTACTGCACAGCCATAAAAAAGAACAAGGTAGCCAGGCACAGTGGCTCACACCTGTAATCCCAACACTTTGGGAGGCCTAGGCGGCCAGATCACGAGGTCAGAAGTTCGAGACCAGGCTGGTCAACATGGTGAAACCCTATCCCTACTAAAAATACAGAAATTAGCCAGGTGTGGCGGCTGGCTCCTGTAATCCCAGCTACTTTGGATGCTGAGGCAGGAGAATTGCTTGAACCTGGGAGGCAGAGGTTGCATTGAGCCAAGAATGTGCCACTACACTCCAGCCTGGGTGACAGAGCAAGACTCTGTCTTGTGGTGAATAAAAAGAGTGAGGCTGGGTGCAGTGGCTCACAACTGTAGTCTCAGCACTTTGGGAGGCCAAGGCAGGTGGATCTCCCAGCACTTTGGAAAGCCAAGGTGGGTGGACTTGAGGCCAGCAGTTCAAGACTAGCCTGGCAAATGTGGCAAAATCCCATCTCTACTAAAAATACAAAAATTAGCCGGGCATGGTGGCAAACACTGTAATCCCAGCTACTCAGGAGGCTGAGGCATAAGAATTGTTTGAGCGGGGGAGGCGGAGGTTATAGTAAGCCATGATCGCATCATAGCACTCCATCCTGGGCGACAGAGGGGAAACTCTGTCTCAAAGAAAAAAAGAATGAGATAATGTCCTTGGCAGCAACATGAATGGAGGTGGAGGCCATTATCCTAGGCAAACTAATGCAGGAAGAGAAAAACAAACACTGCACATTCTCACTTATAAATGGGAGCTAAGTACTGACTACACATGGACCCAAAGAAGGGAACAGACATCAGAACCTACTTGAGGGTG